ACGCTTTCAGCTCGGTACCATCTTCTTTTCGAAGTTTGTGAAGACCCTTAGGTAGCACCTTGCTTATGGTATAGGGCCCTGACCATGCCCGCTCCAGTTTGCCTCCTTTTCTTGCCTCGTTCCGTACATTTTTAGCAACACGGTGTCGCCCTCCTTGAATTTTAGTGGCTGGTGCTTCGCATCGTAGGACTTCTTTTTGTCGCTCCTGTGCTTTCTCGATGTTTTGAATTGCTTGAGCCTTCACCTGGTTGCGAATGCTCATCATTAAACGGACTTTCTCATCAAAGTCAGAGGGTTCATCCTCCGACTTGTCAGAAGTGGGCGAGTCCGCGCTGCTGGGCTTTGGCCTGAAACGAAATGAAAACTTTATTTACTTGCGACAGTCACGCCATCTTTTAATTGACGTTCTTCCAGAGAGCTGTACTACAGTAAAAAATCCGCGTGTAAGAACCTAATGATTTAATAACCTCTTGGCAGAAATTTACCATTTTAATACCCCCTAAATTATGATAACCACTTTAACTAAGGAGTTTGACAAATAAGGTGATTGCAAATACTTACTGTTTATTACAGGAAAAAACTGTCATTTCTGTCATTAAACAGTTGTGAGTTATTACTGTATATTAAATGATAGCAATCGATAACTATGTTTCTCTCATAAAAAATTAAGAACCTAATGAAGAACCTATTTAGCCTAAATTGCCAATAAATACTCCAAAATATAAGAACCTAACTTTACCTGATTTCCATCTCGATGGGTAACACGGCTGCACGACCAAACATCAACTCGAACGGTGTGAATTTGGTGGAGTCATTCTTACTTGTTCGATAGGCGAACAGAATGGACTTGAGGTGTACATCCCAGTCATCATGGTTGTCGTTAACGAACTTCACTATGGCTCTCGTCAGCGTCTGGTTCATTCTTTCATCAAGGCCATTTGACTGAGGGTGGTACGCTGAACTGATCCTGTGGTCCGTGCCACACAACTTAAACAGCTCCTCGTTAACCTTGTTAACGAATTCTCGGCCCTGGTCAGACATCACAATTTCCGCCACTCCGTATCTGGTGATCAGGTCGTACAAGAAATCCGCCACACCTAGAGGACCGATAAATATTTGCCAATTAAGGAGGCTCGAAAGAGTTTCTCGCTATTATAGTGCTTGTTAATGGTTGCGTGTCGCGTGTTTTAAGTTCTTGAGGCCCAAGCTTATTTTATGTTTTCAAAAGTAACACCTTCTTGGTAAAATTTCTCGATATTAACAATCAATAGGTAAAGTTTGAATGAAGTCTAGGAGCAGTTTTATTTCAAGGGAATTCCCTTAAGCAATCTAACTTCAGTTAGTGAACACACGCTAAGTCAAATGCAGAACTTTTTTAAACTCGACTCTAGACAAATTGTTATTTCATTTGGCCCTTGTGAATTGCGACGTTTCAACCAGTAATGACAACCGAAAGAATAAACATAGTAAACTTGAGCTGTGCTTATTTTTTGTGTATTTGTATCGAATTCTTAAGAAAATCTCACAGAAAATAGTAAAAAGAGAAAAAAAATTAATTAATCACAAACGCGAACCCTTTACATTTCTCTCACACACGCTTAATGGCAGACAAAAAAAGAAAAACGTTTACCGTTTGCGTGAGTGTTAACTCAAATAGTTTGCTAACTCTGTTAATGTAATAAGGTAATGACTCTTGTTAAGTCTTAATTTGAAATAAGTGTAAACAAAAAGACTACTCTATGGTTTAAAGCCTTCACGATACGTAAAAAAGATGGCGCCACACGTTGCATTCTAGGGTAGATTGACATGTCAGCCCCAAATTTACTGTGTTTGTATGGGAATCTGACGGCGAATAATTTCCTTAGAAAATAAATTCTGAACAATTTATTAACAGCAGAGTTAAGATACTAGGCAAAAGATTGTACTTTTCCTTTTTCTTTTTCGAGTTCACAAATCTCAGTTCGTTACAACTAATTTTAATATCGGATACCACATACCTTCAGCCGATTTGCTTTTGAGAGGAGCTGCCTCTGGCCACTTGCTGAAATAGCAGGTACAGGTGATCAAGTACTTATTGCCACGGGACGTCTCGGGCAGAGGTCCTACCAGATCGATACCAATCCGATGCCACACGGTGTCCTTTACTTTAATCGGATGTAGCTGGGCAGAAAGTTTTTCGAATTTCTTTGAGGTACGCTGGCAAACATCACAACGCTTGACAGTTTCATCGCAGTCTTCTAACACTCTAGCCCAATAATACCGAGATGTAACCTGGAAGAACAACAGGAGCACAACAGTTAATAACTGACAAAGTAAATCGTCTCCACAATTTAAAAGTTCAAGACAAGTAGCATTGAATTTTGTACAAACCTTTTCTCTCGTCTTGTCACGGCCGAAGTGCCCAGCAAGTTTGTCAGAGTGACAAGCTCTCAGTATCTTCTGCTGCTCGTCTTGGCAATGAACCCATCTTTTAGGCTCACCTTTTTTCTGGCCAATGAAATAAAGCGCACCATCTTCAAGAACATATTTTAGCGCTTTCTTGCGCAAGTTTCTCTTTTGGTCTTTCGAAAAATCGATCGGATATTCGTTATCGCGGAGATAGTTAAAGACTTCGTTGTACGTTTTCGTTTCGGCCATCGTTCATGGAATGAATCATAAAAGTAATGATAACACTTGTGGAATTGAGTGCCCTTTTATACATAGCGAAGACAATAAAAGTAAAATAAAACCTTTGCAGTAGGCGGAGAAACTAAACTTTATTGTGCTGCACACAGTAACAATAACATAAATGAATAATTGCTGTAACACGTTCCACGCTTATTAACATTTCTATATATCAAGACAATGTAATTATCGTCTAAAAGCGACCTATTGTCTAGTACATGTTTATCACTTCATACCGATAATTTGTTAACATTCGACTAGACAAAAACAATATCAATAAATAAGTTTAACTAAATGAGTTAAACCGTTTTTATATTTGCTCTATCAGTTAGTAAGTTGTGAAACATTTTATAACCGCACTGAAAATAACTTTTTATGGTCGGTGCTTAACAGACCAAGCGCAACACTAACTATAACTTTTACGCGTTAAAGAGTATTATGAGAACGTTTGATTCAAAGTTACACACTTGCGGTACATAAAGACACGCTTTTCAAGGCTTCTGGTGAAAAGCGCTAGATTTCAAAAAAGAAAAGAATCTAGACGAGAAAAAGATTAAAAAGAAAAAAGAAAGAAAACAATGTAATTAGAATATAGCGGTGTCTTATTGTCTATCATCTACTTTTTGTTAATTCACCCTACCAAACACTCTGTTTTTAACTTGACAAGAGCGCTAAAAAGACTTGAAGTTTAACTTAATTACTTTCATTCAAGAGGTAAGTAGCAAGTAGCACAAACGCAACGCGATGTTTATTTAACGGTGCGCCTAAAATAACATCATAACAGAATAACTTAATAAAGAAGTAAATTGTTCAACCGTATAAAATTAAAGTAGGCGGAGCAACGCATATCAGTTGAGGAAAACGAACAGCGAATTCCCGATTCTTTCGAACCTTCGTGAAAATAAAGCTTAATTCGAGAAATTGCGTTGACTAAAGGCTTTTTGTTGAAGTTGTCGGAAGTTTAGAAGTCGAGATTTGAGCAATCGGTATTTCACAAAACCAAAAAAAAAAAAAACAATCATAATTGAAGCTTTCACGCATTCAACGGTTGTTATTATTTTATATTTCACACTTTTTCAAGAGAACTGGCAAGCAAACAAATGATTTCAAAATTTACGTTTCATTTTCATTCCAGAGGTAAACAACAGACTTACAGCTGCAGGTTAATTAAACGAAAACCTTAAATTGAGACGCAATGCTGAGAAAAAAGATCACGTCTACGAGAATGTTTTAAAATAAAAACCTACTTTCTGAAAAAAAAAAAACTTTCTTTGAAAGCCTACTTTCTAAATTTTTATTATTTCTATTAGGAAGTTATGTATGGTAATGTTTTTACTCAGTTTTGTTAAAGGGGTCCAAATCCGCGGAGGGGAGTCCAAATCCGCTAGCGGATATGGATGGACCCCGGGGTCCAAATCCGCTAGCGGATATGGACCGGGGGGGTCCATATCCGCTAGCGGATTTGGACCGGGGGGTCCAATTCTAGGGGGGTCCAAATCCGCTGGGACACCGGCTGGGAGGTCCGTATGGTGAAAAACTGTGACCGAGGTCTTGAAAATACTGCCCGAGGCCGTAGGCCGAGGGCAGCATTTTCAAGACCTCGGTCACAGTTTTTCACCATACGGACCGACCCTTAGCCGGTAAATAACATATTTATTGTTTTTAAACTTGACGAAATTCTTTCCGAAAGAACCCGAATGATTTATGGACGTAAATACGGCAAGATCTTCCATAAACTGAACAATTTTTGAGTGGGTAAATGGTAGTTAAAATAGAGGTGATGCAAATTTAAGAGAGATGCCTCAGCGAAACATTTTCATTTCCGTAACGATAAAGGGGATTTAAAAGGCTTCCAAACAAACTTTGAAACATTATTTTTACAAGTATCTGTCACAATCTGACACCTGTCAATTAGAGAGCGCGCAGGAACATTTGAAAACCAACAGAACTAGTTTGGCAAGGACTGTCACAACAATGTTTTCTTCAAAATCAGTTAATGATCTAACGGAAAGTATTATTCACTCTCATCGACCATTCATTCATGTACGAAGATTTACCTCTGTTCATTAAGTAAACGGCGAGGAAAATAATTGTGAGTAAATTCAATTTTTTTATTTTGAAGTTGTGAGAGTTTGCTCGTTTGTTTGCTGTAATGGCGTGTTTAACTCTGATCTTTCCTTCACAAAAACTACATTCGAACGGCACACTCCAACGAGACACAAGGGAATGTAATGCGGCATTTTCTCAAAAAATTCCTTCAATTTCTGTTGTGCAATTTAAGGGCTCATGGCTCGTGTACGACGACCTGACTGACGTTATCAGAGTAACAGTTAGCACAGGGGAACAGAGGAACAGTAGGCACAGAGGAACAAAGGAACAGAGGAACAGTGGGCACAGAGGAACAGTGGGCACAGAGGAACAGTGGGCACAGAGGAACAGTGAGCACAGAGGAACAGTGGGCAAAGAGGAACAGTGGGCACAGAGGAACAGTGGGAACAGAGGAACAGTGGGCACAGAGGAACAGTGGGCACAGAGGAACAGTGGGCACAGAGGAACAGAGGAACAGAGGAACAGAGGAACAGTAGGCACAGAGGAACAGAGGAACATTGGGCACAGAGGAACAGAGGAACATTGGGCACAAAGGAACAGTGGGAACAGAGGAACAGTGGGCACAGAGGAACAGTGGGCACAGAGGAACAGAGGCACAGAGGAACAGTAGGCACAGAGGAACAGAGGAACAGTGGGCACAGAGGAACAGTGGGAACAGAGGAACAGTGGGCACAGAGGAACAGTGGGCACAGAGGAACAGTAGGCACAGAGGAACAGTGGGCACTGAGGAACAGTGGGCACAGAGGAACAGAGGAACAGTAGGCACAGAGGAACAGAGGAACAGTGGGCACAGAGGAACAGTGGGCACAGAGGAACAGTGGGCACAGAGGAACAGTGGGCACAGAGGAACAGTAGGCACAGAGGCACAGAGGAACAGTAGGCACAGAGGACCAGTGGGCACAGAGGAACAGAGGAACAGGGGGCACAGAGGAACAGTGGGCACAGAGGAACAGTGGGCACAGAGGAACAGTGGGCACAGAGGAACAGTGGGAACAGAGGAACAGTGGGCACAGATTCATATGATACAGAAGCTCAGAAGTTCCTTAGGCCAGGCCATTATGATTCTGAATTAGGAAACTGTGTGCCAATGGCAATGAGTAATATCCTGCAAATACCGCTGGTTATTTTTACATCGATGGAAAATTATCCCATTACACAAATAATTCCTAGAACAAGAGTGCTTTCCGAAGTTCCGATATACCTCGCATATAATCATGGTGGCAGCGGACACTATAATTTGGCAGTTGAAGTAACTCACACGCAGTCAAATTCAACTACAACTGAAGCAACTAGCAAAGAGGCAGACAAGCATTTGCAAGTTGAGGCCGACGTTCCCCCTCAACATGAGGCAGGATGCTCGTGTGGTCGCGGAAACCCAGGGAAGACAGGGAAAAGTGAATTCTGCAAACAATATAAGTCACGCTGTCCTTGTTTTCGTAATCTGCGAGGCTGCAATGAAAAGTGTTTCTGCCATTTGTGCGCGAATCCGTTTGGTAGAAAAACTCAAGAAAAAGGGATCTTTGGTCCGCTACCAAGAAAGAGACAAAAACAAGATCTTCAGAAAGATATGAAGCAGACAGACAAAGGATATATGGAAAAGAAAACAGAAGAACCCATCGCTACAATTTGGTTTGAAGACGAACTGTATGTCATTAACTCTTTGGCGTAAACTTAAAAAAACGACAAATGATGGCAACCTTTTTTCTTTTATTTTTTTTTGTCAACAGTATTTACACTAGTGATTAGTGCTATATCTCATTTGAAAGAGGACAAAATTAGCTTTTCAGAAAAAATACATTTAGCCTCCAAAAATCCATGGATTTTAAATCATGCTAAGAAAATGGCATACAATTTGCATAAATTATTGTACAACTTTTGACTTTGAAACAGCCTGAGCCTGAATGGATTGGAGTAAAAAAGGAAACATTTCTAAGATAAAATATTCCTTATCTTATGGGCAAGACATCCAGAGACTCTGGCTGAAAAAGAACAAATATGGAATTAATTAGAATTTTTTTTTCCAAACTGTACCCCAAAACCATAAAAATTGACCCAGATTATTGAAAATTTATTCCTCACCAAGTATTTACACAAGGGAAGTAAGCTATACCTCACTTGAAACAGCAGTAAATAAGCTTTCCTGAAATGCATGTTTCCTCTCCAAGAAAAAGGAAACAACTCATTGAATGCTTTCAAACTAACATTAATTAGCATAAAATATCATCTAAATTTGAACTGTGAATTAAGTGATACCCAAATAATACAAAGTAATAAGGCAAAAATTAACTTAAGAGGTTCCTTGTTATATGGGCAACATCTCCATAAAAAATTGGTTGAAAGATAACAAATCTGAGACGTGTTACACATATCTTGTCAACACTGATTGACACACTGACTAATTAGTCTGACCTCATCATGACCCCAAGCCCAAATTTACTAATCCCTCTTGAAGTCTACAGTGCAATCATTGGAACTATATTTCTTTGTTTGACTTCTGAAATTTTGCCTTGAAACAGGGACAAATGAGATAATCAACCTCAAAATACATAAAGCGCAACATATATCAAAAGATTTTCACTTGCAATGCACCACCAGTATTTTCAAGAGTAAACAATTCAGAAGTGAAATGCCCAAATTTACTAATCCCTCTTGAAGTCTACAGTGCAACTATTGGAACTATTGTTCTTTGTTTGAAGATTGACATACGGACTAATTAGTCTGACCTTATCTTATCATCACCCCAAGCCCAAATTTACTAATCCCTCTTGAAGTCTACAGTGCAACCATTGGAACTATATTTCTTTGTTTGACTTTTGAAATTTTGCCTTGAAACAGGGACAAATGAGATAATCAACTTCAAAATACATAAAGCGCAACATATATCAAAAGCCTTTCATTTGCAATGCACCACCAGTATTTTCAAGAGTAAACAATTCAGAAGTGAAACCAGAAACTGTCATTTTATATCATTCCACTCATTCTCGAGCATAATTTGTTTTTTTTGAGAATTTTTAGCGTGTAACAAGTAGAACCACATCTAAAAAACATACAAAACATACAAGATAATGTACAGGTCGATCTATATACAACTATCGTTTTGAAATAAAGGATTTGTTTTGATTTAGTTCGGACGCGCACTGCGTCATGCGATCGATCTGTCATCGGCTGATAATTTAGGTCGTTGCGTTGTCAAATTCCATTGAAGATTATTTACTCTGTCGCTCCAAAATCATGTTTGATCACAATATATATTGCTTTACATTCACAAATATACATCTACAGGTCTATCTCAAGGCAAAAAACAAGGATTCGAGCGAGAAAAGTAAAAGTAAATTTAATTTTACGCTGTTTCAACATCACGTGCGTCACGCATTTAAATATCGCAAGAATGTTTATAGATTACTTACCTCGATTCTTCGCTAGGATTTTCCAGTTTTCTGTCTAGTTCAGATTCCTCACCACTAGACATACCACCATGCTCACTTCCATCGTCAAAAATGATGTCTAAAGCCTCAGCTACGCTGTATCTCTGGCGCTTCGCACCAGACGCCATTATCGCAGATTGAAGTCGTACGAAAATGATTTCCGGAAAGGGCTCGAAAGGTCAATTTTGATAGTTCGGAGCTAAAATTTGCTATGTGATTGGCTTAGAATGTTTACTCGCCACAGTCGGAATTTTAGAGCGATCGGACGTAATACGAGCATTTCCGAAGAGGTTTACGTCATCGTGCAATTTTGCACGATCTGGCAAAGGCCTGATCGGAAAGAGGTTAAAGCGTTGTTCTTGTACTTGTTAGTTACAAGCCAAGATATTACCCCGGACAGGGTCTTTGCAGAGTACCACAAGATAATAGAATTCTGCTCAGAAGTGACAATTTATCAAAATGTCTTTTCTCTGCGTCCAAGATCCTCGTCAGCAATAACAAAGAAACTACAAGAAATAAAAGGCAAGTTAAAGGTTGACGAGGAATTATTCAAAAACAAATCCAATACAACTGGTTTTTTGACTAAATCGAATTTGCACAAGCAGATAACAAAATGATATCTTCCTGCAACGGCCAATCCCGTTCCAAAGGACTAATCGCCAGTGATTATTGAAGGAAGTTTGGTCGCAGTTTTCCCACGATGGCTTAAACCGTTATTTCTCATCGGCACGTAGCACTTTCAGGTACAAATGTCCAAATTGAACGGAATTGGAAAGACTCACCAGGAGCGTATATTTGTTGTAGAACTTAAATTAAAACTTCGCTCGCTCGTTCACTATGAACAAATTGCTCGAGAAAATTCAGATATTAAATGAATGAAAGTTCCATCTGGGTGCTTTTTGTGAAAGATTCAAATTAATTGCAGACGGTTTTTAGGCCGCTTGTCAACCAACGTAATGACACTATTGTTTATACAAATTCATTCTGAAACCAATATTTTTCTGCCAACCAAAGTGATTTGATAGAGAGAAAAGAGAGGATTCATAAGTTATTTATCGGCTTGAGGTAGTGACCGACGTGTTTGCTTAAAAATACTGCCCAGCCGGAAAACGAGATATATTTATGAAAAATGACAACGAAAGTTGGGATGTACTCGGCGACTAACGAAAGCGTTACCGTGGCCCGTGGGCAGAGATAGGAAAATACTGACCGGGTAAAGAACCAATCAGATTGCAAGATTTGTTACCGTGCCCTCTAAAAAAACAATAATAGGCAGTATTCTATTAAAAGCAGCGAATTGGCTCTCTTCAGAAGAGATCTCGTGTTCTCCAGAGCGCCATTTGATAGCTTCAGTTTTGGATTTCAATGTTTCTAGGGAAGCGTGAGAAAGTAACAATAAACAGATGTCTGGTTTTCATGTGCTGTCACGAGAGATAAACGGGAAGGTAAAATCTACTTTCTTCTGAGAACGGAAACTAGCTTAAAGGTTATAACCTATTTTAATTCGTTTGTGTGTCGCATTTGGTGTGGATCGTGGATTAGGGAGGGTAAGGTAGGCATTAAGGGCCACGATTTTAGTTTTTAGTCATGCTAATAAGAAAATCATGCCTCAAAACTGCTGGAATCTCTTCCATTTATGGAACTTCCAGGAATATCGTCTTCACTTAAAAACTAAGATCCCAGTCGATTGAAAAATTCAGAATTGAAGTTTTTGCTGCAATGTCGAGGTAATAACTGCAAAGGATCCTCCACAAAAGCGCAACTTTGCAAACGGTAAGAAATCTTTCGGATTTATGGTTTGAAAACAATGGTTGTCATGGCCTTGCAGCTCATGGGGTTTGTTCTCTCTCAGAGTGAAGGACTGCGTGGAAGCAGATATTTCCCATCTCGTCCAACATCTCTCCGTATCGCGACTATCCATTTTGTGGACAGATCTCTGTCTTCTGGGAACTTGTGGAAAGGTATTTTCAATCCACTCTCTTCGTAAACCTTCTCTGTACACTCTGAACACAGCAGTTTCGAGGCTGATATTCTGATTAGCATAAGTAAACACTAAAACTGAGGCCCTCGATACCTCGATACCTCGTTCTCGAGGATTGAGGGTTGAGGACTGAGGATTATTGAGAGCTCTCAATATTCAAAGCTGCAGAAGGCCCTTTTGTTGAACGAATGTTTGTCAAATGTTTAAACCGTTTAAACGGGCCTTTAGAAAGCTTTCTGAAATTGGTCAAAAGTACTCTTTCTTTCTTAGGTGATATTTCTCAATTCCAGACTAGACCAATAAAAACTTTGGCTGATTTCCTCTGATAAGATGTCCGAAAGCATAGAAATATAAAAACATCATGCAATTTCCTTCCTAATTTCCTTCGCCGTCGTGACTTCAAATTTTTGTTTTCCTAGCGTGACAGCAGATTATGCAAATTAGTCTGTTGAGCAAACTCCGACCTTGACTGACCCCAACTGTTCTCAGTTAGTAGCGTCAAAAATCTTAGATTTGAACCATTTGAAAAGAAAAGATAGTCGGACAGAACTTTTAGAATACACAGATTGATACTCTAAACAGTTTAAACTGCTAAAATCTAGCAAATGATTCTGTCTCGTGACGAAAAAGGTGAACAAAACGTAACGAATCTGCCTTCCGGTTTCAACAAATGTGAACGGAGTGGGAGAATGGGGGGAAGGGATCATGGCTGAAAAAAAGGGATTCAGTTGAAAGGAGATGAAGGAGTCCCCTTCTTAACTAAGCTTTTCTCTTTTCAAGAGTGACGGTGACAGCCTAACAGAGGGTGAAGCTGGTGTGGTCTCGCCATCTGTTCATAGCTGTTTGAATAGAGTTCATGTTCTTTAAATACCCCGCAGCTCTTTCCTTTTCTAACGCTCTGAACGGTGCTTAAAGATAAAATACAAAGTCTGAAAATGGCATAGAATCTGAAAGCCCATAATTTCTATGGACACTTTGATTTTTCCTTGCAGCCTACAAGGTTTTTGTGCAACACAAACCACCCATGCGCAATTTCTTCCCCTTACCATCTCCTCCCGTAGCAAACTTAGGAAGGCTACTTGAAAGGTAGGCGCTATACTTTTACCTCCTTAAACGGAAAGTAATAAAAGCAGCGCATTCTGGGAAATTAACTTTGGGAAAGGGAAAATCAATGAAAAATCTAACTAAGGGTGTGGTCGTTATTAATCGATGGTGGGGCGAATATAGTGATGGGAATCAGCTCTCGCCAACAGAGTATTAAGGGGGTACTTAACATTTCCAGATAAGCCCTTTCTATATAGAAGGCAGGTTTATTAAATTAAGCCAGTAACAGGCATGGAAGCATGACAATGGTGTAAATAAAAAATTTTTTTGCGGCCTTATTTGTATCACAGTTCAGTTACTCTAAATGTAAATGGTAGGTTCCCTGAGCACTAGGCCCAGTCTCTACCGAGGTTTTGCCATTTGACACACGTTAAACCTCGGCGCACATGTGTTTCCATGGCATGTTATTTTCGCCTTTATTTTTCGGATGAGGATCGTTTAACTAGATTTACGTCGAAGAAAAAGAACCTTACGGAACCATTACGGATATTGTACCACTGTTCAAGGTTACGGAAAAGGACACTTGCTTGTTTGTAAGGATTTCTCATATAGTATTGTATTCGAACAGTGTGCTGAGCGTAGTTGATCGGATCGAATAAAACGTGGAATTGACACTGAATTGACGGCTGCTACACAAAATCTTTTTGACAACCCTGAGGAGGCATTACTTGGCCGCGGGTTAATACAAATTTATTCTCGAGTGTCGACAACATCTCTCTTTAGTGAGAGATATTATAAACTCGTACCCACCAGCGGACAAATAATGTTCTGTTTGGTCTAGATCTATAGTTACTGAATACGTATTTAAGCCAAAAACAATTTTAAAACACATAAGAACATTAAATACAGAGAACACCAGCACATAAAATCAGCTCACCAAAAAGCTACTTCAACCTCCGATTAAATGTAAAACAAGTTATCATTCCAAACATACAGCAAAGGTAGGTATAAATAGTTTATTTACCTACTTGTAGTTCTGATATTGCCTCAGTAACTTTATATGATATGTACACACAGATATAACACTGTATTCTCAAAAAGCGAATTTCAACTGAGTGTCCTACGACCAAATCCAAATTTATCACAATTGCCAATCGTCGAGCACTTTTCAATTAAGTATCGAAAAACCAAATCCAAAGTGATGACAACTGCCAATCAGAAAAAAGGTTACCATGATTATTAGCCAATGAGAACACAGAGTAGAAACAGGGAACCTCCTTAAAGCGCGGGAAAACGCGAGTGACCAAGTCGTAGTTAGTTTTAGTTTTACATTTGATTGGTTAAGATTCTGACGTGAATTTCCTGGACCAATCACATAACGAAGTAAAGCAAAACCAAAGCAATCCAGCATCACTTTTGATACTCAGTTGGAAACTGCTCCAATAAAGGAAATATGAGAAAATACCGAAGATAACTCAAAGAAAAGCCTGAAGTGCTGGAAATATGCGAATGGCCCTACCGCACATAAACTTCTCGCAATAAAAGCAGTAGTTGATCTCAGCGCTCTTCTTCTGGCATGTACTACAGCTGATTTCATTTCCCTCGCCGCTGCGTCGAACGGCGAGAAGACTCAACAAACTGTTGTGCAGAAAACTGCTCGGCAGATTATCAAAACGCTTTCCTTCAGGGATGCCAATTTGTGCCTGACACTCGGGGCATCGATAAAACCCTTGTTTTTGGCTCGTTAGTGCATGTCTCTCCAGGCATTCACAGCAGAACGTATGAAGACAAGCAATGGTCTTGGGTTTGGTATAAGTATCCAAACAAATCGAGCATGTTACATGTTTCTTGAGGTCTTTTAGAAGTGACTCCATCACGAATTGCTGAGTGAAACACAGCCCTATTTTGTTTGAGATTCCGAGAAACTGAACTTGGATTAGCATTCTATTTAAAGCAGCGAAGCAGATCTCTGTAGGGATCGCGTGATTGACAGTTTTGAATTACAATTTTATTCACCTATTGTTTACTTTCTCTATCACTGCGCAGTAAAATCGATTTCATAGCGCGACCGAATGTGTCGCTGTAGCAACTGTATCACGAGATACACTACGCTGGGAACGTTTGTTCATGTACCATCTAGCTCATTTTATCATCGCTACATTTACCGCCGTTTAGTGAGTTTGGGATTCCGAGAAACTTTTTTGATTCCACACGAAAATTATTAGAGAGGTTTTTTGGAAGCGACTCCATCACGAATTGCAGAGAGAAACACACCTTCTTTTGTCTGAGATTCCGAGAAACTGAATTATATTTAAAGAAGCGAATTAGATCCCTTGAGAATCATGTGATCTTTGCACAGAGATTGACAGTTTTGCATTTCAATTTTATTCACCTACTGTCTACTTTCTCCATCACTGCGTAACTATATCGATTCCATAGCGTGACCGAATGTGTCGCTCTAGCCATTGTATCACGAAAGAACACGCTGCAAACGTTTGAAATTATACCATCCACCTCATTTTATCATGGCTATATTTATCGCCGTATAGTGAGTTGAGATTCCAAGAAACTTGTGCAACTTTCAAACATCAGTCTTCCGGTTCAACACATGCGAACAGAACGGGGGAAGGGAGGGTGGGATGATGAGGGGAAAAAAAGAGACTCAGTTGAAAGTAGATGGAGGAGTCACCTTCTTAGATAAGTTCTTCTCTTTTCAAGCGCTCGGTGACAGCCTAACAGAGGGTGAAGCTGATGTGGTCTCGCCTTCGGTCCAAGGCTGTTTGAATACAGTGTATGCATCAAATAGGAGATTTTGACCCCTAATGCTGTTGTTAATCGGCATTTAAAAGTTTCAAAAAGATAATACGTAACAATCTAGATAAGCCCTTTCTACATAGAAGGCAGGTTTGTTACAATAAGCCGGTAACAGGCATAGAAGCATGACAATGGTGGAAATAAAACTTTTAGTGCGGCCTTCTCACGCAGTCCAGTTACTCTAAACGTAAATGGTAGGTTCCCTGAGCACTAGGCCCAGTCTTTGCCGAGGTTTTGCCATTCGACACAACGTTAAACCTCGGCGCACGTAGGTTTTCATCGCTTGTTATTCTCGCCTTTATTTTTCGGATGAGGATCGTTTAACTAGACTCACATCGAAGAAATAGAACATTACGAAATCATTACGGATATTGTACCACCTTTCAAGGTTACGGAAAAGGACACTTGCTTGTTTGAAAGGATTTCTCATACAGTATTGTATTCAAACAGTGTGCTGAGCGTATTTGTTCGGATCGAAAAAACGTGGAATTGACACTGAATTGACAGCTGTTACACAAAATCTTTTTGACAACCCTGAGAAGCCATTACTTGGCCGTGGATCTATAGTTACTGACTACGTATTTAAACCAAAAACGATTTTAAAACATATAAGAACATTGAATACAGAGAACACCAGAAAATAAAATCAGCTCACAAGAGCTACTTCAACCTCCGACTAAATGTAAACCAAGTTCTCATTCCAAACATACAGCAAAGTTAGGTATAAATAGTTTATTAATCTACTTGTAGTTCTGGTATTGCCTTAGTAACTTAATATGGTATGTACATGCACACAGATATACAACACTGTATTTTTTCAAAAAGCGAATTTCAATCGAGTGTCCAAATCCAAATTGATCACAACTGGATCACCAAATCCAAATTGATCACAACTGCCAATCGTCGAGCACTTTTCAATTGAGTATCGAAAAACCAAATCCAGTGGTGATGACAACTGCCAATCAGAAAAAAGGTTACCATGATTATTAGCCAATGAGAACACAGAGTAGAAACAGGCAACCTCCTTAAAGCGCGGGAAAACGCGAGTGACCAAGTCGTGTTTGGTTTTAGTTTTACATTTGATTGGTTGAGATTGTGACACGAGTTTTCTGGACCAATCACACAACGAAGTGAAGCAAAACCAAAGCAATCCAGCATCACTTTTGATACTCAGTTGGAAACTGCTCTAATAAAGGAAATATAATAAAATGCCAAAGATAACTCAAAGAAAAAAACTGGCAAAGAGCCTGACGCGTTGGAAATATACGAATGGCCCTACTCCACACTCGATCTTGATAAGGCTCGTACCTGATTGGTCAAGAGGGTGGCATAGGCTTTCTAAACCAATAACATACGTATTTAAACCAAAAACGATTTTAAAACATATAAGAACATTGAATACAGAGAACACCAGAAAATAAAATCAGCTCACAAGAGCTACTTCAACCTCCGACTAAATGTAAACCAAGTTCTCATTCCAAACATACAGCAAAGGTAGGTATAAATAGTTTATTAATCTACTTGTAGTTCTGATATTGCCTTAGTAACTTAATATGGTATGTACATGCACACAGATATACAACACTGTATTTTTTCAAAAAGCGAATTTCAAATCGAGTGTCCAATTCCAAATTGATCACAACTGGATCACCAAATCCAAATTGATCACAACTGCCAATCGTCGAGCACTTTTCAATTGAGTATCGAAAACCAAATCCAGTGGTGATGACAACTGCCAATCAGAAAAAAGGTTACCATGATTATTAGCCAATGAGAACACAGAGTAGAAACAGGCAACCTCCTTAAAGCGCGGGAAAACGCGAGTGACCAAGTCGTGTTTGGTTTTAGTTTTACATTTGATTGGTTGAGATTGTGACACGAGTTTTCTGGACCAATCACACAACGGAGTGAAGCAAAACCAAAGCAATCCAGCATCACTTTTGATACTCAGTTGGAAACTGCTCTAATAAAGGAAATATAATAAAATGCCAAAGATAACTCAAAGAAAAAACTGGCAAAGAGCCTGACGCGTTGGAAATATACGAATGGCCCTACTCCACACTCGATCTTGATAAGGCTCGTACCTGATTGGTCAAGAGGGCGGCATAGGCTCGCTAAACCAATAACAGACTATAGTCAAGCTAAACCAATGCCCATGACTATATCCATGACTACTTTCGACACTCAATTGAAAATTTCTTTCATACTTTACAATATTACCATACAAAGACTAGTCTTAAAAGAATTCTGAACATGTCTAGTGATTAAGTCTCTTTATACTGACGTCGCATCGAGCTACTCATTAGGTCTGATCTGTATAGTTATTTTCTGTTGATTACCCAGGCATTTTCGTAATTTATTCTCAGTCATCGTCAGCATTTGTTCCAAAACTGAAACTGTCTGCAACAAAAGGCGGCGCAATGAATATCAGAGTATCTCCCTTACTCTAAAAAATATTTTCGCTTCAGCATAAGCTAATACATCTCCGTGTTGCATGAAATCTTTGCCTCGTCTCTGTACAACAAAAACCTCATATTAGACTGTTCGTGACCTTTTTCCCGACGAGGGCCACGGACTTGGTCACCAGTCGCTGTTTCAGAAATGAGCTCCATCTTGCGATCAGGTATTCCTTTTCCCAGGGGGAGGGGGGAGAGAGAAAGAGCAACTGTGGTGCTTCCATACCATCCCCCTTCCTCCCTCTCCCCCCCCCCCAAACAAAGAAGAAGACCGCCTAATTCAGGCTAAATGAATCTATGCTTCTCAAAGACTGGTAAAAGGAACTAGCAAAAATTGAGTATGCGAAAGCTGTGTCCCCCGTTTCTAAGTCTTGTGTCTTGTTAAAGGAAGGGTGTTTTAAAATGGATATTGATCGATAGGTGATATGTGTAAGCTTTTCGTTGGGCCACACCTTTTGCTCCTTTCCCCCTAGCACGGGTCCCTCTTCAACCCCTGGTATTCTCCCCTATAAATGGCAGCGTGATGGGGTCACTAACAGGAGTGCATCCCCCGTCCCCACCCCCCCCGGCTCTTGGTTTCCAAAACAATTCCCTGTTCACAAATTTTTCCACAACTAACCTGTGTGAGCACATCCAGCTGGTCAACAATGTGCTCCAGAGTTATGCTCAACTGTGGAGGAATATCTCTCCTTTCGAGGGGTGTGGTGAGGGCCCTGGCAGAGGCTGTGTAGCTGGAATGCCTCCCAAACCATCAGCCTCCCCTGAATCCTCCCTGCTACTTCATCTAATTTGCTCTGTCTCTGAAGAGTGAGAATTTGCAAGACAACATCTTGGTTAACTTGGCTCTTAAACTGAACCAAGTAAGGTGGAAGGGTTTCTCATGAACTTCACATCTTAGCTATCAACTGATGCAATCTGGCATAGTCAAAAAAATAATCCTAAATAGCCTACTTCATCCAAAGATGAGCTTTTAATACAACAAAAAAGATAACTTACCATTACTCATGCAGCCATTCTTGTTGCACAGTAACACACTTTTGCAAATCAAACAAATAAATTTATTCAAAATGCATTCAGTAAGATATCACTTCAACAATGGTCAACACTATCTGAACCTAAAGGAGAACTGTACTCAGTTCATGAGCACAGTGAAAAGTATCCTATAATATTAGTAATTCATTCAATCAATTTATATTTCATACTATTTAAAGGAACTTGTTCATGAAAACTCCTGCATGCATGGAATACCTAAATAGCAATTGCAACTTGATGCAATCAAAACACTCCTCAGTCTATAGACGGTTTCTAAATACATCTCAAATGCAATTCCTGCAAAAGCAAATAAGGTAGGTAGATGCTATGCTTTTATCTCCTTAAACGGAAACTAATAAAAGCGGTGCATTCAGGGAAATTAAGTTTGGGAAAGCAAAAATCACTGAAAAATCTTACTAAGGTGACAATCGTTATTTATCAATGGGGTTGGATGTAGAGGGGGGGGGGGGGAATCAGCTGTCACCAACAGAATTTCAAGCAGCTCACAAAAGGAGGCACACCAACAACTGACAGTCTTAAATGCAACCATTGCAGTAGACTGTGCTGCTCACATGCTGAACTTGCAGTGCATCAATGCCCCTAAAGCACTTAACTGTTTCTCAGTCAACATCACCTGCAATGGACTGCCAATGATGATTAAAGTGGACTATAGTAAATTGACTGCTAATGAGAAGAGGGATAAAAAAATATCGCTCTCATCTTGATCACTCTCATTTTCTTGCCCCTCAGCCAGTTTGTTTGTTTTCACTGTCTTATCACCTGCTCGTGTTATTTTCTTTTCATCTGGTTGGTCTATGAGATTTTTTAGGTTTTGGTTTTACACCCCCTCCCCCCTTCCCAAATGGGATGTCAGTCCATTGCAGGTTACCCCCCAGCATTTCATCAGGTTTCCTTGACAGCAGTATCCATATATAATCCTGGGTGGAGAGATCAACCCTGTGAAAGAAGAGTGTCTCACCCAAGAACACAACACAGCAACATGTCCAAGTCTTGAACTCAGAGCTCTAGACATTTACCCCTAGCTCCCTAACATTAGCAAACATATTCTCCCTACTGTTCTCTAAACATTTCCTTAGGTGCTGACAAGGAGAATTTGATTAACAATCAAGAGGGTTTGTTAGTTTGTGATCATTTCCTACTTTCTCATGACCTTAATGTTTGATTCAGAGGTGATATTGAAAGGAGAAATTAGATGCTAGTCACTCTTAAGAGAACAGGTTAAGCTGCCATCTCATATTTAATCTTCTTATTTAATCTTATAATTTCCTATTTGATGAATTCACAGTTTGTCCAGACTTACCTTGGGAGCAGCCTCTTTGGGTGCATTCCTTAGAGGGGGTCATGAGTATGGGGTGTAGGTACAGATGGGGATGCTGCTCTTTTTCTGTGGGAGTCAGTAGCAATGAAAGCATCACAAAAAGCTATTTAACAAACTACCAGTCACATGCAGGAGGCTTAAGCAGCTAAAAAATTAAAAACAAACAAACAAGAACAATCTTGAAGAAAAAAATATCTGATATGTTTCAGAGAATTGACAAAAAAAATATTAAATGCAATTTTCTATAAACAAAAGTGAAATGACATGAAAAAGCAATACTGGTAAATTTGATTTTGCTTTTTTAATCTTTTGTACACAGCAGTTCACAAAGAATCTTACACATGCAAACATCACTTGTCAGAAAATATCACACAGGTGAATAGTGCTTTTCATGTGTACTGATTCCTTTGTTCAGAAGAGATCAGCAAGTACTATTCACTGCCGAGCAGGTGAAGAGACAAAATTAATTTCAACCATTTTTCGTTATATTGACAGAAATGAACTAATTTTTTTTGGTTTCTGTATGGTATATATCAAAAAAATTATTCACCAAAGTGTTGGTGAATATTGGTGGATATTAACAGAGCCACAAAATGGCAAGGTAAATATCCACCATTGTTCACCTCCACTGAGGTGAAATACAATTGTTAATTATTTGTTTTAATTATGTTAGAAAGACAAGAAAAATGGTATAGGAATGACATGTTCAGTTCATAAGAATTTGTTTATTAAAAGATCAAATACAAAACTTAACTGCAACAACAAAAGTGGAAGGTTTTTTTTCAAATCACTGCTCACCTGAATTTTCAGCTGCCTTTCTTCAAGTTCCTCTGGAGAAAGAACTTCTTCTGCTACTTTGTTTATTGTATTGTCTAGCACCTGGAAGGTCAAACAGAAAGCTTAGCACTTACTCAATATCATTATAATTAAATTCTTGTCTCTGATATGCAAAATATAGGACATGTCACAGAAATGAAAAAAAAATTGTTTACATGTGAATAAGAATTGAGTCATTGAGTAAGTTTATAGAGCAGTTCACTGATAAGAGCACAAAAATATGCATGTTAAACTTGTAGAGAATGCATCTAGACCTGACACAGACTGGTCTTGACAGACAAGCAAATACATCTCAAGTACAGTGTTTAAAATCCACCCCTATTCTAGGATGTCACAATCTGTCAAAACATGACCCTTAAATAATGTGAGAAAGCCTTATAGAATACAATTCACCTTAACTTTCACTAACTGTGCAAGCAAAATTGAAGTGGAGAGAAAAAAAAAGCCTTAAATGACTTGTGATGAACTAAAAGATTCTCCTTCCACATTGTTTTGTATCACCTCACAAAAAGAAAAAAAAAGAAGTTGGTGTTCCATAAAAAATAACCTTAAGGCTCTTTTCTAATCACCCCTCCAACTGATAACCCTTAGAACCCTAAGAGTAACAAGCATCTAATTTCTCCTTACAATATCACCTCTGAATCATGCACTAAGGTCATGAAAATACAGGAAATAATCGCTGACTAAAGAAGCCCTTCTGATTGTTCAACAATTTCTCCTTGTCAGCACTTTAGGAAATGTAGAGCAAACAGTATGGAGAATATGCATAGTGATGTTAGGGTGTAAAGGATTCACTCACCTTCACTGGAACAGCAGACTTGAGTTGAGCCTTTGCTCGACAGTCTTTTGAATGACTAAGTAGAAACAAGAAAAATAATAATGGGGATTGTTTCCTTTATTCTTGCTACTTTAATGTGTGATTTAAGGATGATATTGTAAGGAGAAATTAGATGCTAATCACCCTTAGGGGTTAAAAAGGTTACAGGTTAAGATGACTTTAGAACTAAAAAAATGCTCTGTGATATGTCTCACCAAAGCCAGCCCCTGATACAACCAAAACAGAAAGTGTGTGAGAAAGGCAAAGTGTGTGCCAATACCATCAGTTCACAACAGATACAGCAAAGTAGCTCCTCATTTAAATCTTTTAGGCACTTCTTTGATCTGCTTTCATCTACTAAATGAAATAAAAATTTAACATGAGCCCTGGCTATGTAACCTCTGATGCAATTGATAACAACTTTCTCCCAGACTTTTGTTAGAGGAATACTTGCAATTTTGATGGAGAATATACAAAGTCATGTAGCATTAAATTGAAAGTGAGAGAAGTATAACTGGGTACCGGATAATTTTCAGGGAAGCCTGATGAAATGCTGGGGGTAACCCACTAGTTGGGTCACTTTGCTTGCAAACAGACTTTATTTACTCTTTTTTATCAAAAGTGGCATTAAGGGCTTTTTTCTTCACATCCCTACAATAGACAGATGCCTTCAGTGGAGAGTTGCATCCTACATTTGTAACATTACATAAGATAAAGTTCAGTTTAATTCACTTCTTGGAGTTAAATGTACCTTCATTGATGTTTACTTCTTCTTGTGGATCAGCTTTTTGATCAACTTCAAAAACCTGGGATTGGAAAATAATATAAATGGTTTTGATACATGCCACAGAACACAGTGTACTACACTGAATGATACCCTGAGAAATTGATTATCCTCTGATAAAATGTAAAATTCATCTTTTTTAACTCTTGGATTTTCAGAAGTGATTAAGTCTGTAACTTAATAATGTCCATATGCTATCCGGTAAATATTAGAATACATGGTACTAAAACTTATCTATAGAAGTTGCTTTCTTGATCTAATTATTTAAACAAAGTTTAGCCATTATTTCACAAGACCTCATCCTAAATAATATTCAATTTACTATAGCTGGAACTTTCATCTGAACATTTATTTTTGTGAACATTGTCAAGAGGGCCAAAAGCTAACAGTAGATGGAGATGACAATTTAATAAAATCAACAACCCTGTTAGAGAGAAAGCCTTGGATCCACTGAATGTGTAAAACCATGGTTTGGGTTAGATCTCTGAAAATAACCTGTCCTTAGGGTCATAACCCTATAAATTTAATTTCAGCGGTAAAGATATAAGGTAAATTTGTTTTCTCTTTGCCTTTTCTTTAAAAATGATATAAAAAAAAATTGTAATTTGCCGGTTAATAATCATTAAATCAGAAGCCCAAGTTTATCTACCTGCTTATCGTCCATGCTGCCTTTAGTCTTCTTTTCACATGGAGAGCTGGAAATTACAAAAATATTAAAAGTTTGACAGGCCTATCAGCATTCAATAGGAAGTTCAGATTAGGTCTTGACACTTGGTCTTATTTGTAGCAGACTAGAACTTGATTTTAGGAACACATACAACAAAATGGTTATGTTAAGGAGGTGTAATGAGTGGGAACCTGTTTCGGGAGATCCTGGTAACTTAAGAGGCCTGTACAGCTGTCTGTTTTCATTCAAGATGAGGGTTTCAGAAGTTATGAAATTATACAATACAACTATCAACAAAATATTAAAAATGAACTGGTTAGGGTTGTTAGAATCTGCTTCTCTATTCGCTTTAAATATTGACTTTAAAATAGGGTTTGGGGCCTGTTAAGTTACTGGGACAGTAATTCAAGAAACAGGCCCCCCAAAGATATGAAGATGCCCCTACACCTTTGGGGAAAATGTATATTTGACCCTTGGAAGAAAGATGATAGTCTCCATGCAAAATCATAAAATAATAAAAAACTGGGGTATGATCTTGATCCCACTTAAGAGTTACAGACAAAATAGTATCTGCTAAGGAAGCGAAAGAGGCAAGAGGTTGTTGTAATTTCTATGATCTCAACCCACACCACCCCCTTGAAATTTTTTTCCAGAGTATTTATTTCTCTGTCTAGTACCCTACACTCCTTTTCTAGGTCAAGTGACCCTACTCTCCATCATTACTACCCCTACTTCTGAGTGTTATGTACCCATACCTCACTCCTTCACTTAGTGATGCGGGCTTTTTCCGTTTGCTTCGCCTTCGCACGCTTCCATCGCTTGTTCCTTCCCCAAGGGAGCCCACTTCTTCAGAATCATTCTGGCAGACCTCATTAAAAACATACACAAGCTCCGAATCGTAAGCTGACAAACTCTGTCCTTCTTTCGTTTTAACGCCAGCACCTCCAAAGACAACAACATCACCATCGCATAGGACAGCAGAGCTATGCTTTGTTTTGTTGACTAACAGCCCGTTCAGTCCTTTACAATCAATTCTGAATTTTCCATTGCTGAAATGAATTTCAGCGTGAACACGACTGATCATTAAAGGAGATATCACTGTCAATAACAACATCTGAATATTCATCACTGCGTCCGAGACGAGTGACAGTCGGTTTTAGCAAAATTTTTTCTGGTTGTAGAGATGGATCATAGCAATTCCCTTCGACCCTCTGCAGACGGAGCATTTTTCTCCTCTGTTTCAGTGTGCAAAAGCCTCTCATACCACTTCAAGATTCTTCTTGACTGTTTTCTTGAAGTACACTCCAAGCGGCCATTTTAACAGTACGACACGATATTCGGAAATCGTTCGGACAAGATCGGACAAGCTCGGGTGTAACTTCTCGTTAGCAAAATCAGTAATAAGGAAAAGGATAACGGATATGAGGAATGAATGTGAACGTGATGTTTTGTTTTCTCGCGGACCTGTGTCACGCTCACATCACTCGTCGGCTCGAAATACGCAAACTGTGTTGATCAGCATGCAAAGTTTTGTATATTTAACCGAATTTAGATGATTCGGAACCCGTCTGTTCGGACAATGTATGCACAAAATAAGGAATTTTGCCCCTTGATGCTGTCGTTGTGCGGCATTTTGAAAGTTTGAATATACAGCAAAGGTCGCTATAAATAGTTGATTAATTAGTTAATTCACCTAGCGGCGGTTCTTATATTGCCATAGTATCTTTATATGGTATGTACACACAGAAATAAAACACCGTATTCTCATAGAGCACGATTCAACTAAGTGTTTTAAAACAAAATCCAAAGTGATGACAACTGCTGATCATCGAGCACTTTTTAATTAAGTATGCAAACACCTGAACCAAAGTGGTCAAAAGTGACAATCAGAACCAAAAGTTACCATCATCATTAGCCAATGAGAACCCTGAGTAGAAACTGGCAACCTCCTTGAAGCGCGGGAAAACGCGGGTGACAAAATTGTGTTTGGTTTTAGTTTTACATCTGATTGGTTAAGATTGTGACATACGTTTTCAGGACCAATCACACAACGAAATAAATCAAAACC